ACGTGGCTGACTTCGACCATCACTGCTAATACCCCGTTCACTTGGACTTATATTGCACATTGTGGATTTCCATTCTGTCAGGTAGCAAATGACCAATATGTATGTATGGGTCCGCTTGAGGAGAACTAGTCATTTTCTTCGATTCTTCGGAAAAGGATTTCAGTGTCGGTTAGCACTTAGGATGTAAGCTTGGATACTGTAATAATTGGACAGATCAGTGAGATGATCTAAGCGAGAAGGAACGTAAATGGCCGAAGAATATTTTTTGGTCCTAAAACTCGAGGCATATAACTCCATAAGCTTGGAAATTTGCAGGAACAACACAACTTAATGTTTAATGTATGTAAACAGTTCTGTGAGAAGTCAGAGGCTAAAGCACTTCCACGATTGTGACTATTTAAATTTCCAACGTACCCCGAACAATTTCTTACCACCCGCAAGTCTGACTTACACCTCCCTCATAACCATGCCCATACCCATGCAGCCTGGATCCCATCGGCACCTCGCTCGTTCGGCCCAGAATAGAGAATCACGTATCGATTTGGGAGCTATCGGGAATGAATCCGGCTCCAAGTCATCGACCGCTCCAAACCACCTCGAGCAGATCGCCAGGACAGCGGAAAGGATCAGCACATCATGGAAAAAATTGTCCCCCGCCACTGACATGGGAAGAGATATCAAAAAGGGAATTGGAAAACAGATTGAAAAGGCCACCGAGCCAGGGATGCTGAAACCTAGCGCATCTGCTCCCCGCCAGACGCCTCCCGGCGTGAGAGCGATTATGCTGACGGTCCGGCACGAATCACCGTGGAAGATGTACAAGCAGGGATATGAGCTCAAATTCGAGGACTTTGTCACCGTCGCCGTCGGTTTATCTCCGAATTCAGGCAAGGTTGCCATAAAAAATTACAAAAGACGTGAAGGGGAAATAATCCTCGACATGTTGAACACAGTTCGCCACGAGAAATTTATCAGGGTGATGGAGGTTTTCGAGTGGGAACAGACGTACTTTGCCGTCTTCGAACACGTTTTCGTCTCACTGGAGCAAGTGGTGGCTTGCCCGGCTTATCCAACTGAGCGACAGCTGGTCGCCATTCTGGCACAGGTGTGTTGACGTCCTAGGTGCTGATGGAGACCTGTTCTCTGACTAGATTAGATTCTGGAAGGTCTGTGTTATTTGAGCTCAATCGGGCTCCAGCACGGCTCGTTGGCATGCTCAAACGTACTACTGAAGCCGAGCGGAGACATCGTCCTGGGTGAGCCTCCAACAATGGCCGTATAGGGAAGGACTGATCGATTGCAGCCAACCAAGAGTACTGTTGTGCCGCTGAGGAACCAAACACGGCCGATGTGAGGGCGGTCGGCTATATCGCGATGGAACTAATGCAGAAGTATGTAAAAGACGATGGAGCTATCGGAATCGAGAATCCCAATCGCTGGACCGGGAACTCTCCATCCGTTGGGTTTTTGTCGATGACTACTTCTGCAGAGTCCGTGACGGAACTGCAACAGGTGAGGACTTCTGAATAAGAATATTTCTGACAGCTACTGATCCTCCAAGCACAACTTGTTGCAGCGTTCATGGCGCAAGGAGGACTTGGTGTTGTTGGAAGAGCTGGCTTCGTTCTCCGTTCGGAGAGCCTACAGATACTTCGATTGAGGTCCGGAAGCATTAAATCTAAGTATTCTTTGCTATGCATGATGCGAAGCTTTCAAATCGGTTGGCGATATGACGCTCCCTCGATCTCATATAGGAAAACCGCCCCAGACAAGCCTCACATGTAATACCATTCTATGTGAATTCCCGACCTGCGTTTGAGTTTTGGGAGATTCTGGATGTCAGACCCCATCACAGACCGTAATTCTACACATACGTTAAACGAGATAGAATAGTGAAACTTTGTCACTCCTAAGGCGCATTGCATTTCAACTAGGATCTAAACATAGCACAGTGCTGGGATGATCATCTTCTCCTGAGCTATTTAATCTTCAATCTCGTCCTTCCCAGCCATGGCCTGTTAGGCATCTTCCCCAGGGCAATATTCTCTTCGAACGATTCATCTCTCTCCCACCATGGATACTACTCAGATCTATGCGGTTGTTATCGCTGGCATTACTCTGATATTGCTATTGCGAACCGGAGTTTCCTCGTTTGCCCCCAGGCTCATTGCCACCGCTTCCTGGATACACCAATACTTGAGATCTACCTATGTTCTCAACCGTCACACCTTTATGGGTCCCTGGACTGTGACCGCAGTCTTGCTGCGCGTGACATATCTGGCAGTCAACGTGGTGTGTTTGGGTGTTGGTGTCGCCGATCTGTCGCATGCTGGACGCCGCGCAGGGACGTTGTCAGTCATTAATTTAGGTCCGTTGTTAAGTGGTCTCCACCTCAACTTTCTGGCCGACTTGTTGGGTCTCTCTGTCGGCGCCGTTCGAGATGCCCATCGTACAGTCAGCTTCGTGGCTTTTGGGCTGGCCGCTTTTCACGTCATCGTGGCCGCCGTGACCGAGCGGGCGTTATTTCGGAGAGAACTAGAGAAACCGTTCGTGGTCATTGTGAGAGCCTCCTTCCCTCCAGCTTTTCTCGCTGCTAATCTACCTAGGCGGCTTTGGCATTCTGTATACTCATTATCACTCCACGACGCTTGGTCCAGAAAGCGTCCTATGAGATCTTTATTCGACTTCACCAGATTTTGTCGCTTCTTTGTGCTGCTTCAATCTGGGAACATTTGTCGTCAGTACGGTCTCCGGATCGATTGTATCTTCTCATCTTTCTTGCCTTAATGGCAGTGACATTCGCTTGCGAAGCCGTGTTGGTTCTTGTCCGCAATGGATGGTCATTCCGTAAACGCTCACGGGTCACCGTCACGAGCTCGTGTGGGATGCTGAAATTGAAGGTGCATCTCTGCAAACCTTTGAAAATCGAGCCTGGCCAGTACATAAATCTATGGATGCCCTCCGTAGGCCTCGGAGCCTTTTGGCAGAGCCATCCGTTTATGGTCGCCTCTTGGTCCACCGAGGCGCAAGAATGTCTGGAGATTTTCATCCAGCCACGGCGAGGCCTGACGAGAGACCTTCTTCACATTGCTCGCCCAAATGGACCTTTCGAGTGCAAATGGGCCATGTTTAGCGGACCACATGGTCACACTGTCCCGGTTGGTCAGTACGAGACAGTTGTGTTGATCGCTGATGGAGTGGGAATCGCCTCTCAAGTGCCATACCTGAAGAAACTGATTCATGGCTACCACCATCGTCGCGTGGTCACTCGTCGGATCCATTTGATCTGGCAGATCAGTGATATTGGTAGGTATTCCGACTTCAGACCCGACTCCTGCTGACCATCTCAGATGTCGGCATTGCCGCGCAGCCTTTTGTGAACGATGTGTTGGATGAAGACAAGCTGGAGAGCGGTGGTGTACGTGATTTGTCAATTCATTCTTCCCCCATCACTGATCAAATGATAGATCCTCCAGGTCTCCATCTACGTCAACCTCGACGATATTTCGAAGATCTCGTTTGGGAGACGAAGCACCGTCTACCCTGGAAAGGCCAATTTCGACGAGTTGGTGGAGAAGGAGTTAGCTTTCGAAGGTGAATCTCGAGACGACAAAACCGAAGGCTTTCCCGGAAGTCTTCCCTCAACCCCAATTCCCCCGGAGTATAGAACGCCATGTAAGCGGTCCTCATCTCTCTTCTAGATTCAACTTGACCGAATTCAGACGTGCCAGATCTGGCGAGACGAAGTGCTCTTTCCGAGTATTCGACCGACGAGTTCATGCAACCATGGACAAACGTGCCACTCCAGAATGAGGGCGGCGTACCTCACTCGCTCACACAGGATAAGCGGCAAGTGTCCGAATTGCGGCAGACATCGCAGGGCTCGACCCTCATCCTCAGTAAGTCTAATCGTTCCTGAAAAATAGCACAAACTGATCCAATTCAGTGTCGGCATTTGCGGAAACTCATGACGTTTTGAGGAGATTGGCACGACGGCATCTTCATGAAAAGGTGACCTTGGTCGAGACGGATTTCCAACCCTTCATGAGATAGATCTAGAAGGAGGCCACCAAGCCGCATCATAGGTTCTCTAATCTCAGATTAGCCATGACAAAAAAATCGATTCCGTAAATGAACCTAACGGAGACAATCTTTTCTTAAGTCAGAATAAGGTTAATATTGGCATTACTTCGCCCATGTCCACATCACGTAAGCAATACTCACCTTTCCTCCAATGAAGATTAAGATTTACTTGGCATGCATATCATGTATAAAGACCGTCGCGTTTTCTCCGGGCAGAACTGGAAACTTTGGGCCTGTAGAGCATATTCGTCCATTAAGGCTGTCTCTTCTCCTTTGACCGTCTCCGCCCCCATTCGGTTACTTTCGCTTTGTCTCTTTTCTCGAGAGACTGGGTTCGTGGGACACTTGCCCAAACAGAATGAATTTCCAAGGCCTGCTTCTCCCTGAGATATGGACGGAAATCTTCAATATGATGTCCAAGGAACGCCACTTGTGTGAAGAAAATCATATCAAGAGTGTTCGTCTTACATGTCGACTATCCAACTAACTTGCGACCTCTTTTCTCATGTCTGAGATGTCTTGTGCGCCTCGGTCCTCCAACTTGAGTAGGCTTACAGCCGTATCGCAACACCCTGTTCTCCGTCGATGATGGATCAAGTCGATCGTCCATTCTCCGACACGATATAAGCGTTAGGAAACGTTGCTCGATTTCAAACAGCATTACAATATTCATCCCCCGCTCCAGTAAATCTATCTCGTTACGAAGTGAATGAGTGGAAATCCTCTTGGTTTCGTGGTATGTCGAACACCAAAACACTTCCGATAAACGATGCGGCTCCGGGCCAAAAATAACTATCAGTCATAGTCTAAATGAACACCACATACAGTACATAGGAAAAAGTCAAAACCCCACCCCAAAGGCGGTTCACCGACCGAAGATGTCTGGAACCATGTTAGAACTCCAAGATGCTGTCCGCTTATGTCTCATGCAGCCCGCAACGTTTGACCCATAAAGGAATGTCCTTCACAAATCGCCGAGTGATGCCTTCCTCTATTTCTCCTTGCTCAACGAGGAAACCAGGATTCTGGTCCTCATAGACCAAGTCGAGATCGAAGGCTTTCTCGAGAAGAAAGTCGGCTGCTTTTTGATATTCATGTTTATATGATTCGTTCTTCACCCGAGACTTGAGCCAGTCACAGTAGTCTTGTAAATTAACGTCGTGGTGGCCCGCGATGTCGAGACGCATGGTTTCGGGCCACTGCATGCTCTTTGACTCTGTCGAAGATTGAGGAGGCAGAGCGTTGGTGAACTAGATGAGGTCCTGTCGAAAGAAACAGATCTGCTGTTGACACGTTTCTTCCGCGGGTATTTGCGTCGAAGGCTGTCCGGGATGTCGTCGTGAGATTGAAGACGA